CCCAGGATTAAGAAACTCACTCAAAAACATACTATTGCATGAAAATTGAATAACCCACTCCCTACTCCTGGATATAAACAATGATATTAAGGCAGAAATCAAGAAGTTTTTTGAAACCAATGAGAATATGGAGACAATGTACCAGAATCTCTGGGACACAGCTAAAGCAGTGTTAAGAGGGAAATTTATGGCATTAAATGCTCATCTCAGAAAGCTTGAAAGATCTCAAATTGACATCCTAGTATCACAATTAAAAGAGTTAGAGAATCAAGAACAAACTAATCCAAACACTAGCAGAAGAAAATAAATAACTAATATCAGAAAAGAACTGAACTAGATAGAGACATGAAAACCCTCCAAAAAAATCAGAAATCCAGGAGCTGGTTTTTCAAAAAAAATTAACAAAATAGATAGACCACTAGCTAAACTAATATAGAAAAAAAGAGAGAGAAGAGTCAAATAGACACAACAAAAATGATAAGGAAATAAATATCACCACTGACCCTACAGAAATACAAACTACTAGTCAGAGAATACTATAAACACCTCTATGCAAATAAACCAGAAAACCTAGAAGAAATGGGTAAACTCCTGGACACAGACACCCTCTCAAGTCTAAACCAGGATGATGTTGAATCCCTGAGTAGACCAATAACAAGTTCTGAAATTGCGGCAGTAATTAATAGCCTACCAACCAAAAAAAAAAAAAAAAAAAAAGCGCCCAGGAGCAGACAGACTCACAGCTGAATTCTACCAGAAACACAAAGGAGCTGGTACCATTTCTTCTGAAATTATTCCAAACAATTGAAAAAGAGGGACTCCTCCCTAACTCATTTCATGAAGCCAGCATTATTCTGACACCCAAACCGGAAAGAGACACAACAACAACAAAGAAACTTCAGGCCAATATCTCTAATGAACATTGATGCAAAAATCTTCAATAAAATGCTGGTAAACTGAATCTAGCAGCAAATCAAAAAATGTATCCACCACCATCAGGTCGGTCATCCCTGTGATGCAAGGCTGATTCAACATACACAAATAAAGAAACTTAATCCATCATATTAAACAGAACCAAAGACAAAAATCACATGATTATCTCAATAGATGCAGGAAAGGCCTTTGATAAAATTCAACATCGCTTCATGTTAAAAAACTCTTAATAAACTAGATTTGAAGGTACATATTTCAAAATAATAAGAGCTATTTATAGCATACCCACAGCCAATATCATATTGAATGGGCAAAAACTGGAACCATTCCCTTTGAAAACTGGTACGAGACAAGGATGCCCTCTCACACTACTCCTATTCAACATAGTATTGGAAGTTCTGGCCAGGGAAGAGAAAGAAATAAAGATATTCAAATAGATGGAGAGGAAGTCAAATTGTCACTGCAGATGGCATGATTCTATATTTGGAAAACCCCATTAAACCAGCCCAAAAACTCTTTAAACCAATAAGCAACTTCAGCAAAGTCTCAGGATACAAAAATCAGTATGCAAAAATTAGAAGCATTTCTTTACACCAACAATAGACACACAGAGAGCCAAATCATGAATGAACTCCCATTCACAAATGCTACAAAGAGAATATAATACTTAGAAATATAGCTAACAAGAAATGTGAAGGACATCTTCAGGGAGAACTACAAACCACTGCTCAAGGACATAAGAAGAGACACAAACAAATTGAAAAACATTCCATCCTCATGGATAGAATCAATATTGTGAAAATGGCCACACTGCCAAAGTAATTTATAGATTCAGTGCTATTCCCATGGACAATTGACATTCTCCACAGAAATAGGAAAGAAACTATTTTCAATTGCATGGAATTAGAGAAGACCCCATATAGCTAAGACAGTCCTAAGCAGAAGGCAAAACTGGAGGCATTATGCTACCTGGCTTCAAATTATACTACAAGGCTTTGGTAACCAAAACAACATGGTACTGGTACCAAAGGAGACATATAGACCGATGACACAGAGCAGAGACCTCAGAAGTAACACTACATACCTACAATCATATGATTTTTGACAAACCTGCCAAAAACAAGCAATGGGGAAAGGGTCTCGTATTCAGTAAATGGTGCTGGGAAAACTGGCTAGCCATATGCGGAAAACTGAAACTAGATGCCTTCCTTATGCCTTATACAAAAATTAACTCTAGATGAATTAAAGACTTAAATGTAAAACTTGAAACCCTAAAAACTCTAGAAGCAAACCTAGGCAGTACAATTCAGAACATTGGCATGGGCAAAGGCGTCATGACAAAAACACTAAAAGTAATTGCAACAAAAGCCAAAATTGACAAATGGGGTCTAATTAAATTAAACAGCTTCTGCACAAAAAAGAAACTATCAGAGTCAACAGATAACCTACAGAATGGGAGAAAATCTTTGCAATCCACCCATCTGAGAAAGGTCTAATATCCAGAGTCTACAAGAAACTTGAAAAAATTTACAAGAAATGAAAACCATCTCAAAAAGCGGCAAAGGATATGTGCAGATGCTTCTCAAAAGAAGACATATACATGGCCAATAAACATATGAAAAAAAGCTCAACATCAGTGATCATTAGAGAAATACAAATCAAAACCACAATGAGATACCATCTCATGCCAGTCAGAATGGTGATTATTAAAAAATCAAGAAACAATAGATGCTGGTGAGGCTGTGGAGAAATTGGAATGCTTTTGCACTGTTGGTGAGAATGTAAATTAGTACTGTTGTGGAAGACAGTGTGGTGATTCCTCAAGGATCTAGTACGAGAAATACCATTTGATCCAACAATCCCATTACTGCATATATACTTGAAAGAATACAAATCATTCTACTATAAAGATACATGCACATGTATATTTATTGCAGCACGATTTACAATGGCAAAGACATGCAACCAACCAAAATGCTCATCAATAATAGACTGGTTAAAGGAAATGTGGTATATATACACTATGGAATATTATGCAGCTATAAAGAGGAATGAGATCATGTTCTTTGCAGGGACATGGACAAAGCTGGAAGTCATTATGTTCAGGAAACTAACACAGAAACAGAAAAAGAAATACTGCATGTTCTCACTCATAAGTGGGAGCGAAACAATGAGAACACATGGACACACACACCAGGGCCTGATGGAGGGTGGAGAATGAGGGGAGGGAACATAAAGGGCCAGTCAATAGGTGCAGCAAACCACCATGGCAAATGTATACCTATGTAAAAAACCTGCATGTTCTGCAAATGTATCCCATGTTTTTTAGAAGAAATAATAAAAATAAAAATTTTTCACTGATGGTTTCTGTTTGATTTTGCTAACATTTTCAACCCTGTAGTTCTTGTCCTTTTCTTCTGAGTTCTTAATAAATATATTCTCTTTTGCTGGTTGTAATTTAATTTTCATTTTTGGTGAGATATATAATATATATATATATATATATATAATATATATATATATATATATATATATATATATATATTTATTTATTTATTTTACTTTCCCCCCGTTGTACTTTGAAAGCTTATTTTTTATGTGTTCCCATTATCCTATCATATATTGCCTGTGTGCTTGTATCTATACTTTAGATCTTTATTTTAAAATGTTTTAGATTAATGAAAATATTTATCATGATTTTCATCTGCTCTGTAGCCACATTTTTCTAAGGTTTGTTTTTCTTCATTCTTTTCTCTCTTTTTTCCCTTGAAGTATCTCTGTAGAAAGATAATGCTGTATCTAGTTTTTAAAATTACTTATTTACTAATCTTGCAGTAGTTATATACAGAGGTTTATTTGTGGGAACTTCCAAGGTAGAATTCAGGATACCAGCGATTATTTCTGGTTTGAAATAATGTTCTTATTGGTTGAACCTGGTGGCTCATCCCTGTACTTTCAGCACTTTGGGAGGCTGAGACAGGCAGATCACTCTAGGTCAGGAGTTCAAGAACAGCCTGGCCAACATAGTGAAACTGTGTCTCTACCAAAAATACAAAAATTAGCCAGGCATAGTGGTGTATGCCTATAATCCTAGTACTCTAGAGGCTGAAGCAGGAGAATTGCTTGAACCTGGGAGGTGGAGGTTTCAGTGAGCCAAGATTGTGCCACTGCACTACAGCCTGGGTGACAGAGCAAGGCTCTGTCTCAAAAAAAAAAAAAAAGAAAGTTATGATAAAAACACAGGGCTTTTTTTGAGAGAGAGAGAGAGAGAGAGAGAGAGAGAGTGTGTTTTTGTGTCTGTGTCTGTGTGTGTTCTGTCACTCCTCTTTGATTAGCACAGATAATGGGCTTTAGCGCTGATCATAATTTACTTTGTCATCTACCCTGATCAAGAGCCTTCTCTCTATATGTATAATGTGACTGTGTAGTTCCTTATTCCTTGCTGCTCCTGTTATTTCATGATGCTAATTGGGGTTAAGGGAAGATCCTACTGCCAAGTTGGAAACTCACTACCAAGTTGGAAATTCCAAAATAAAGAATAATTAATTTTTATTTTCACAGTGAGAGCTAGGAGGGAAAAACTATTTGGTCAGGTTTTTCTGATATAAAAAACTTGCCTAGTCTTAACAATCTTCCTGGGTTGCCCCTGTTTCTACTTTTTTAAAACTTCAGTGGATTTGGTAGTTCTTCCTCATCTATTGTAATTTGTGGTTAGAGATGTACAAGTTTGGTCAAAGATGATGTTTTTATATATTTTTAAAAATTCTTAATCTTTTGGTAGTCATTTTTAAGTGGTGAAGGGGAATAATGAACAGTGGTATGTCACCATCTTAAATTTTGAAATCCATTTTGTTGAACACACTTTGCATAATAATCACACAGCTATATTCTCTGTGTTATAAAACAGAACTCTATTCTTATTACACTTATTAACCTCTATCACCATGACAAGTGCTATCCTTCATAAACAGACATTTAAAAAAAAAAATGTAAGGAAGACTTTTAGCTTCTTCTCCATTCCGTACCATTTAAGACAAATTAGAAAATGAGGATTGAATTATATTTACCTACTAAAATAACCGATGCTCTCTTAAGATATGTTCTGGAGCTCCACAGGAATTCTGAGGTATCAGATATCAAATCTCTAATGTAGTTCCTATGAGAAATAATCTGAGAATAAAAAGTGGAGGGGGTGGGGAAGTATAGAAATAGCACAATTACTCCCTCTAGAAAGGCTTCAACATACCAAATCAGGGTCAAATTAAAAATTGGGGATTTTATTTTTGTGTGAACTATACTCTTGCTCCCAAACTCAATTCTCCTTTTCCATTCTTTGGTTAGCATTCACCCATCCCCACTTGTCTATCATTGCTGTTCACGCCGGGTTTCAGAGGACTAGCTCATGAGGCAGTGGGAAAGTCATTCTTGTTCTCTTTTTCGTGATCTGGGATGTTCTTCCTACCTTAGTACCCATCTATAGCTCAAAGTGGGTGGGCTGGATGAAGAAGAAAAGACGGATGATCAATGATGAGAAAGAGGAAGTGGAAAATTATAATTCCTCTCAGCTCCAGGTATGATCACTCATTTAAGATCCTTTCTTCCATTTTATTTTCTCCAAGATCCAATCTTATCCCCATCACAGTTTTTAATCACTTTGGATATCCTTTTAAGTTTTTCTACAACTCTTATAGTAGTAAAAATGGAAGGACCACTTACAAGATTGTTACAGATATTGAGCACCACCATCTCAAAACTGTAATTTTCATCTTTGAGCAAATATGATGTTGACCACTTTAATTGTAAGGTACATATTTTTAATGTATGTTTACATGCCTGTGAGACAGAAAAAGGTCAGTGAAGATCTATTTATCTGTTGTTAGATAAAACATTGTAGTTCCTTGTAAAATTAGGAAAAAGAAGATCAAACGACTTACGTTAGCTACTCTTTCTTCGTCATCCTCCAAAAAGAGGACTAGGGGCACTAAGCCTCCTAGAACCACATCACTCAGCATCCACATGTACTGACTCATTTCCCTAAGTAACTCACCAAAATGTTGAATTGCCATACTTCGAATGCGTCTACTAATCTGAAAAAGAAAAAGGCCTTATCTGAAAATAATGTCAGGGCTTTTTTCTTCAATAATTGTGTGCACGTGTGCGTGCATGCACACACACACAGACACACATGTTTATATGCACATATACATATATAGTATGTATACTTACATCGGGTATACATACTATATATGTATATGTGCATATAAACATACCATATGAAATTTTATTTTTAGAAAAAATTCACATTGGGTTTCAGTAGTTAGTGCACCTTTTAATTTTAAAATAATATTTGCTTACCTGTTATTCACAATAGCCAAGATATGGAATTAATCTAAGTGTCCATCAGTGGAACAAATGAAGTAATTTTCAGCCTTAAAAAAGAATAAAATCGGCTGGGCGCGGTGGCTCAAGCCTGTAATCCTAGCACTTTGGGAGGCCGAGGCGGGTGGATCACGAGGTCAACAGATCGAGACCATCCTGGTCAACATGGTGAAACCCCGTCTCTCCTAAAATTACAAAAAATTAGCTGGGCACGGTGGCGCGTGCCTGTAATCCCAGCTGCTCTGGAGGCTGAGGCAGGAGAATTGCCTGAACCCAGGAGGCGGAGGTTGCGGTGAGCCGAGGTCGCGGCATTGCACTCCAGCCTGGGAAACAAGAGCGAAACTCCGTCTCAAAAAAAAAAAAAAAAAGAATAAAATCTTACCATGTACGACATGGATGAACTTGGAAGACATCATGCTGTTTGAAATCAGCCAGGAAGAAAAAGACAGATATTGCATGATCTCGCTTATATGTGGAATATTAAAACGTTGAACTCATAGAAGAGGAGAACATCATACTATTTGAAATCATCCAGGGGCAGAAAGACAAATACTGCATGATCTCACTTATATGTGGAATATTAAAAGGTTGAACACATAGAAGAGGAAAGTGGGACTAGGTTGCCAGCAGCTGAAGGGTGATGGGAGGCACTGAGGGAGTTGTTGGTTAAAGGTTATAAAGTTTCTGTTTGACAGGATGAATAAATTCTAGAAATCTAATGTAAGTCTACTTATATTAGACTATAGTTAATAATGTAATTTAGACTTTAAAATCGCAAAGAGATGAGATCTTAAATGTTCTCAGCACAAGAAAAAAATGATATGTGAGGTATGGCTATGTTAATTTTGTTTGATTTAATCATTTCACATTGTATACATATATCAAAACATCATATTGTATTCTATAAATATATATAATTTTAATTTATTAATAATGCCTTAATAAAGATAAAAAATATATAAACTACTAAAAGAATGTACTTACCAAAATTCAGATTGCATTAAAAAACTCCTGTGAAAAATGAGCTTCTTAAATTCAGGAAGATGATTAGTATTTAATAATGTCCTAAAATTATAAACTGGAATAGTGTGTATAACTTGGAGATAATTTTTGTAAGGATACTTAGAGTAATGTAACCGTGCTGTGTTCAAAGGCTGGAGGACTTGGCTGAGTTGCCACTGAATAACAAGGGGAGTTCTTGGCATACTGGCATACAACCAGGTTTTCAAGGCCTATTTATGCCAAATAGGAAGGTAATTGGATAAAAATAATTCTAGAAAGGAAAAATTGCAAGTCAGAAGAGGTTAATTATTTTTATATATTTGTATTTTATTAGAGACAGGGTCTCACTCTGTTGTCCAGCTTAGAGTACAGAGACAGGATCATAGCTCACTGCAACTTTGAACCCCTCAGCTCTAACAACCCTCCCACTGGTCTCAAACCCTTGAGGTCAAGCAATCCTCCCATGTCAGTCTTAGAAAGTGTTGGGATTACAGGCGTGAGCCACTACACTTGTCCCCCAATTTAAAAAACATATTATCACCTTCTGGTTTTAAGGAAATGTTTATAATCTCATATTGAAAATGATTTTTATATGAGCATTATGACCTTGGCCAAATATTGACTTCTCTTTGCCTTAGTTTCTTTACATGAAAATTGGATAATAGTAATACAGTTGCTTAGAGATTTATGTAAGATAGCTCATGTAAGTCCTTTAGAAAAGCCCCCGGTATATATTAAGCGTTCAGTAAATTAAGCTTTTTTTTCTTTAAGTTCTGGGATACAAGTGCAGAAAGTGAAGGTTTGTTACAAAGCTATGTGTTCCATGGTGGTTTGCGGCATCTATCATCCCGTCATCTAGGTTTTAAGCCCTGCGTGCATTAGCTATATCTCCTAATGTTCTACCTCCCTTGCCACCCACCCCTCAAGTGGCCCCGGTGTTTGTTGTTCCCCTCCGTGTCCATATGTTCTCATTGTTCAACTCCCACTTGTGAGTGAGAACATGCAGTGTTCAATTTTCTGTTCCTGTGGCTTCCAGTTTCATCCATGTTCCTGCAAAGAACATGACCTTCATTGCTTTTTATGGCTTCATAGTATTTCATGGTATACATATACCACATTTTCTTTATCCAGTCTATCATTGATAGGCATTTGGGTTAGTTCCATGACTTTGCTATTGAAAATAGTGCTGCAGTAAACATACATGTGCATGTGTCTTTATAGTAGAATGATTTGTATTCCTTTGAGTATATATGGAATAATGTGATTGCTGGGTCAAATGGTATTTCTGGGTCTAGATCCTTGATGAATCACCATAGTATCTTCCACAATGGCTGAACTAATTTATATTCCCACCAACAGAGCAAAAGCTTTTCTATTTCTCCACAGCCTCACCAGCATCTATTGTTCATGGACTCTTTTTTTTTTTTTTTTTTTTTACAAAAAGAAATGGTTTTACTTTATTAGTTACTCATATGCTCACTGTTACAATCATAGAATCCAGAACATATTAGGTTTGCTGCACACTTACTTGTATGTTTTCTTTTTTTTTATTGTACTTTGGGCTCTGGGGTACATGTGCACATCCTGCATCCTGCAGGATTGTTGCATAGGTACATACATGCCATGGTGGTTTGCTCTCTCCATCTCCCCCAACCCCTGTCCTCTACATCAGGCATTTCTCCTGGTGTGATCCCTCCCCATCCTCTCTGCCCCCACCCCGCTTTCCCTCCCCTTCCCACACCCCCACCCCCACACCTAGCCCAGTGAGTGTTCTCTTCCCTGTGCCCAAGCGTTCTCATTGTTCGTCACCCGCCCATGTGAGAAAACACACGGTGTTTAGTTTTCTGTTCTTGTGTCAGTTTGCTGAGAATGATGGTTTCTAGATTCATCCTTGTCTCTACAAAGGACACAGCCATTTTTATCGCTGCATAGTATTCCATGGTGTATATATGCCACATTTTCTTTGTCCAGTCTATCATTGATGGACATTTGGGTTGGTTCCAGGTCTTTGCTATCATAAACAGTGCTGCAACAAACAAACATGTACATGTGTCTTTATAATAGAGTGATTTATAATCCTTTGGGTATATACCCAGTAATAGGATTGCTAGGTCAAATGAAATTTCTATTTCTAAATCTTTGAGGAATCACCACATTGTCTTCAATAATGGTTGAACTAATTTACACTCCCACTAACAGTATAAAAGTGTTCCTATTTCTCCACATCCTCTCCAGCATCTGTTGTCTCTATATTTTTTAATGATCACCATTCTAACTGGCATGAGATGGTATCTCAATGTGGTTTTGATTTGCATTTCTCTAATGACCAATAATGATGGCATTTTTTCATATGTTTCTTGGCTGCATATATGTCTTCTTTTGAAAAGTGTCTGTTCATATCCTTCGCCCACTTTTGAATGGGTTTTTATTCTTGTAAATCTGATTGATTGAGTTGTTTGTAGATTCTGGATATTAGCCCTTTGTCAGATGGGTAGATTGCAAAAATTTTTTCCCATTATTTTGGTTACTGGTTCACTCTAATGATTGTTTCTTTTGCGTGCAGAAGCTCTTAAGATTAATTATATCTCATTTGTCTATTTTGGCTTTTGTTGCCAATGCTTTGGTGTTTTATTCATGAAGTCTTTGCCTACGCCTATGTCCTGGATGGTGTTGCCTAGGTTTTCTTCTAGGGTTTTTATGGTGTTAGTTCTTATGAAATCTTTAATCCATCTGGAGTTAATTTTTGGGTAAGGTGTAAGGAAGGGGTCCAGTTTCAGCTTCCTGCATATGGCTAGCCAGTTTTCCCAACACCATTTATTAAACAGGGAATCCTTTCCCCATTGCTTGTTATTGTCTGGTTTGTCAAAGATCAGATGGTTGTAGATGGATGACATTGTTTCCAAGGCCTCTGTTCTGTTCCCTTGGTCTGTATCTCTGTTTGGGTACCAGTACCATGCTGTTTTGATTACTGTAGTCTTGTAGTATAGTTTGAAGTCAGGTAGTGTGATGCCTCCAGCTTTGTTATTTTTGCTTAGGATTATCTTGGCTACATGGGCTCTCTTTTGGTTTCATATATAAAGTTTAAAGTGGTTTTTTTTCCAGTTCTGTGAAGAAGGTCAGTGGTAGCTTGATGGGGATAGCATTGAATCTATAAATTACTGTGGGCAGTATGCATTTTCACAATATTGATTCTTCCTAACCATAAGCATGGAATGTTTTTCCATCTGTTTGCATCCTCTCTTATTTCCTTGAGCGGTGGTTTGTTGTTCTTCTGGAAGAGATATTTTACATCCTTTGTTAGTCATATTCCTAGGCATTTTATTCTCTTTGTAGCAATTGTAAATGGGAGTTTGCTCATGATTTGGCTCTCTGTTTGTCTGTTACTGATGTATAGGAATGCTTGTGATATCTGCATGTTGATTTTGTATTCCGAGACTTTGCTGAAGTTGCTTATCAGCTTAAGGAGGTTTTGGGCTGAGATGATGGAGTCTTCTAAATATACGATTATGTCATCTGCAAATAGGGACAATTTGACAACTTCTTTTCTTACTTGAATGCCCTTTATTTCTTTTTCTTGCCTAATTACTCTGGCTAGAACTTCCAATACTATTTGGAATAGGAGTGGTGAGAGAGGGCATCCTTGTCTAGTGCCAGTTTTTAAAGGGAATGCTTCTAGTTTTTGACCATTCAGTATGATATTGGCTGT